GGGTTTGGTCATGGTCGTGTGAGTAAGATCGTTCTAAGACCATGTTCTTGTTTAGTAGAGAGAGAGAGAGAGAGAGAGTGCATTGTTTTTATAGCATTTCTCTCACAAACTTGTGTCGAAGATGGGGTCGTAGATCTGTATTCCTTGTTTTCTTTGCATTTCATCGATTGAGAGAGAGTGGCTGTTGCTTTTCTCTCTTAACCAATTCGGTACTTTTATCATCATCATCCAAGCTTTATTCAATTGCTTGGGGGCTTTGTTTCTTGTAAACAGATGTAAATCTCCATTGTCACATGTCCTCGAAGAGGGACACCAATTGTGTTGTATATTTTTATTATCTCAAGTGTACATGAACTAATAATGGATATGATAAGTAGATTCCTGGTAAACGTGTTAACCATGTGTGAATTATTTATGAGAGAGCGATGCGTATTAGCAACGTGTGAATTATTTATGAGAGAGAGCGATGCGTATTAGCAACGCTACATCTCATCTACGATTCTTACAAACATCCCCCTTAAAAAAAAAAAAAATTTCATGCATAATAGTTTTCACGATATATGGGGAAATGATCACATAATCTATTTTCATTTCTTTACTCTTTAAGTGTATCCAAACACTGAAGCGTAAGTTTTTTATGCTTCTTCTACAGCATAGATGTTTTATCCTTCCCCTTATACAACCGTCCACTCTGAATGGAGGGTTACAATTGCCCCAATCACAATGTCACGTCTCTACACTATTTTGTTTTAATTTTTTTTTTATAAACTATTTCGACGCCAAATTTTGGAAGTCCATTCCTCTATTAAATTCGTACTAGCGAAAAATATAAAAACAATATTTTCAATAAAATAAAATGACCAAAATACCTTCAAAAGTTTTAAGGGGTATTTTGGTCATTATATTTTATCGAAAATTTATTTTTAATATTTTTTATAGGTACACCCCAATGAGAAAATGGCACCTACCAAATTTCATATTCATACAATTTTTATAAAAAAAAACTAAAAATAAAATACTTTAAGATGTCGGATGTAAAATCAAACAGTGAGCGGCTCTCTTCATCAAAATTGGACAGCTGGATAGTAGGGGGAGGATAGAACTTCTATGCTGTAGAGGAAACATAAAAACCTTTCCCAACATTGAAAATGCTATATTTTCTTGTAATGGATTTTCATGTATCCGGACCCCTAATATACAATCCCTTATGGATCAAACCTTCACCACAAGGCATAATGACAAATTAATCACAAATGCTTTTGAATAAAATTAATTAAACACAATATTATTTATATACTATACAATAATATACTTGGGAGAAATTCGCCTCGCCCATGGGATGAGGCCGAATCTGAGTGGACTCGGCCAAGTCTCGTCACACTAGCCATAGCAATATTGCTAAAAATTTGAGAGATTTTTTTGGAAATTGATTGTTTATACTAGAGTTTTAAATCCTAGCGATTTCCATTCTGGGTCGCCGATCCGGATGTGGATTAAGTCGGGATCAAACATGTTCTAAAATGGTGTGGGTCCCAGTTTGGTTCCCCCTAAAATCCCCCTCTTCCTTCTTTTTTTTTCTTTATGCTTATGGTCCCCCCTAAATCCTCATCCTGTCAACCTTTATTTTTATTTTATTTATTTTATCTTTATTTTCTTCTTTGTTTAAGATCACTTCAATAACCGTCTGGATCACCGATCCAGCCAATCCGAGCCGTGATTGGTGGTTGAATATTCACCCCACCAATCCAATTTTTTTGTTTTTTAACATTGGTCGACACCGATCACCATACAATGCAATGTTTACTTTTGGAAGCTTGTCTCATTCATATTATATGAATAGAATAAAATAAAATAAATTAAACCGCCTTTGAAGTGCGGATGGGCGACAATGCAGTCATTTGCCCCAATATTTAATGGAAAATTGTTACATGGTTGCCTCCAAAAAAAATTTAAAAATTATTCGTCTAAATGTTTATCTCAAAAATTTATCTTTTAGTTTTAAAATTTATTTATTTTTACATATTAATAATCTCGTTAGAGATTAAAGGAAAAGTTTATATAAAATGTCAACCGTATACTATTGAAGTAAGATGCATCCATCTAAAAAAATCCTGTAGAAGAGAGTGTTCCGATATTGAAAAACCCTTCAATTTGATATCTCGACCTTGAGATATACGAACACGAGGAAAAAAGAACTTCAAGTGCAATAAATTATCTCAACCATCTATTTTCAAGATTTACAAGTCTCCTCAATCTCTATCAATTTTGAAATTTCATATCCATCGTAATGTTTTCCACACTAGAATTGCATCTCCAGAGAAAATTTTGAGATGCGACATACTTCTATAGTATAAGGATGGCCCCTTATACACACCTCACCCGAGATTACCTATACCTAAAAAAATTAAGTCAAATTCCATCGGGACTCATGAATGTGTCCATATTTAATGGGCCACTATGTAAGAAGGTAGAAGACAAAAAAATAAAATGAAAGAAAATTGTGAGCCATTTTCCAGCTTTGGGAGGGAACTTTGTTTTGAAATAATTTATAGACGTCTAAATCACTTCCTTTCCTAAATTTAGGTAGCTAAAGTATTATTAGAGTCTGGGGTTTAACTTGCGGTTCCTAGTGAACAATACCGACCCGCAGGTCCACAAAATCCTATTTACTTAATTGAGATGAACGTAATAAAATACAGACCAATAACTCTTCTTAAAGGTCAGATGGTGAGGGATATCACAGATATACCATAGAATAAGTTTATATGAGGGTGAGACCCTAAACAATCAAATGAAGGCATATCTCCACCTCAAGATGCATGAACATAAAATAAAAAAAAAAAATCTAAGTCTTAAAAATAGCATATCTTGCATTGCACTTTGTGGACAGTCAATTTTCAAGTTTATCAAGTGTTTATAGATCTCTTCGATCTACACTATTTATTAATCTTTAAATATTATAATTAGAAATAAAAAATATATTTTCATACCATCTTAAAGATTTCCAATACTAAAATAACATCATTTGACATTAATTCAAAATGTGGCTTACTTTCATTATTTGGGGGCCAGCCTTATACAAACCACACCCATATAATATTGATCACAAAGATATCAGGGATTATATACAATGAGATGTCACAATTACTTACAACGATCTGATGTGAAATTTGATAGCTTGGGTATGTCACAAAGTTTGAGAAAATTTCTTTTACACTTTGAGCTTGGTCAATAAAATAAAGGAAAAATATCATTGTACACCCTAATTTGGTATATCCTTTTTTTGTAGACCCCCATGTTTGAAATCTATCGGGCGGCATTAACTTTTCTAAGAACCTATCTAATAACCCCCTGATCCCTATTAACCCAAATATTTTGCTTTTTGTTAACTGTTTTGTCCTAAATAAATATATAAAGAACATCCACGCCCAACATCTATCTCTGGCTTCATTTCATTGGTTTTCACTCGTTTTTTCACTATTTCTCTCTCACTACTCTCTCTCATGCCCTCTTTCTCTCTCACTGGTTTTCACTTGTTTCAAACTCTATCTCTCACTCTCACATCACCATCTCTATCTCTCTCTCTCAAAACTCTATCTCTCTAAAACCCAAACTCCATCTCTCTCTCTCATCACCGTCTCTCTCTTTCTCTCTCTCTCTCTCAAAACTCCATCTCTCACTCTAAAACGTTCCCTTGCTGATCTTTCAGATGTTATGAAACCGCCAAAAATCGTGAAAAAAATGCCAAAAAACCTGCAGAAAACCCTCCATCTTTACATATAAAAGCTCACAAAAACTACTAATAATGATCCACCTTTGCCTCAAAATCACCGAATTTCAAACCAAAACCACCAATTCTCATCCCAAATCCACCAATTTTTTACTGAAAAAAATGCCAAAAAACTTGCAGAAAACCCTCCATTTTTACAGATGAAAGCTCACAAAAACCACAAATAATGATCCACCTTCACCTCAAAATCACCGAATTTCACAAAAAAACTACCAATTCTCATCCCAAATCCACCAATTTTTTACTAAAAACCACCAATTTTCACCTCAAAACCACCACTCTCGGTCTCAAAACCACTCAAAAAGCTCATGGTTTTTCTCAGGGTGTAGATACCCAAGAACCGCATTTTTTGCTCATGGTCGAAAAACTGACCCACAAAACGGGACCTTCTTTAATTTCAATACCCTCTTTGAAGATTCCGGTGAAATTTGGGTGCAAAATCTAACCCACAAAATGAAAAGCCCTGCAACTTCAACACCTTGTTCAAAGATTCCAATATAAAATTAGATTCCGGTGAAGTTTTCCTTCAAAACATTGAGCAGAGAAACCAAGATTTCACCCATTTCAACAACACCGCATTTGAATAATGTGACCAAATCTCAGGAAAAACATCAAATTCCAACAAAATATCTTACCCACAAAGACAAAACCGTTGTTAAGTTCGACACCCCGTTTGAAGATTCTGGACAAAAATCAAATTCTGGCAAATAAACGGACCAACAAAGAGACATCCTCTGCAACTTCAAGACCAACTTTGAAGGTTGTAGCAAGTTTTTCGGCTGAAAATCTGACTCACAAGATACAACCATATATGATTTGAGCTCCCCCTTTGAAGATAGAGAGAGACGGTGATGTGTGAGAGAGAGAGAGATGGAGTTTTAAAGAGATATCGAGTTTGAGTTTTAGAGAGAGATGGAGTTTTGAGAGAGAGATAGTGATGTGAGAGAGAGAGAGATGGAGTTTTGAAAGAGAGATGGTGATGTGTGAGAGAGAGAGAGATGGAGTTTGAGAGAGAGAGACGTGGATGTGTGTGAGAGAGATGGAGTTTGAAAATGAGTGAAAACCAATGAGACAAAAAGAGGGTACGAGAGAGAGCAATGAGAGAAATGGTGAGGAAATGCATGAAAACCAATGAAGAGAGAGAGAGAGAGAGAGATCTTGAGCGTGGATGTCCTTCATATATTTATTTAGGGCAAAAAAAGTTAACAAAAAGAAAAATTTTTTGGTTAATAGGGATCGGAGGGTTAGAATATAGGTTTTTGAAAAAATTAATGCCAGCAGATCGACTTCAAACGTGAGGGTCTACAAAGAAAAGATACACCAAATTAAGGTGAACAATGATGTTTTCCCTAAAATAAATGCAGCCACCCAAGTTCACATCCAATGCTCAAGATAGCTTGTGACCACCTTATACTAAAAGTAAATGGTCTCACTATATACTTTCCAACAAATAATACCTTACCATAGCACATGAATTGGAAAAGTACAAGGCATGAAATTTCATGTCAATGAATGGAAATGGATAAGAAACAGATTTCTTATCTTTGCAAAGAACAAAAGAGTATTTTTTAGGGAAAATTTCATATTGAACCTTAATTTTTCGTATTATTTCATAGTAGACCCTCATTCCGTTTTTCTTTCAAGCGGCATAAGAAAATCCCTAAAGATTCCACCATACCCCCTATCTCTTAACTCCTTCTTTTATTGACTTTTGATCATAAAAATTAACCCCAACAAAACTTTTTATATCATTTCAACACAAAAACTTTTTTAATAGGTAAAATGGGAAAAAGATGATTAAAGAAGTTTTTGAGATGAAATGGTATAAAAAAATTTATTGAGGCTATTTTATGATAAAAAAACAATAAAAAAAAGAGATAAAAGATGAGGGGATACAGTGAAATCATTAGGGATTTTTTTATGCCGCTTGAAAGAAAAATAAAAAGGAAATCTATCATAAAATAATACAAAAAATTAAAATTCTATACGAAACTTTTCCTATTTTTTATCAGTATGGACAATTGGATACTGGGGCATTCTTATGAGTTTTGCATTCAGGTGGCATGTGAGAGAGAGAGTTTACAAATTAGGTATGTTCTGATCATGTTCAATTCAACTTCGGCTCTTAATCCTTGGGCACAATGAAGTCAATTCTTCGGATCAATGTTTTCAAAACCGGGAGAATGGGTGGATCGCCAATCCAACCATCCGATTGGTCAGCTAGAGAATATTAAAAAATGAAAACAAGAAAAATCAAAATAGGCATTTCCCTTTTTTCTTTTTTTCTATTTTTTTTTGTGAAGGGGGGGGGAGGGGGAACCAGGCCTGGACCGATAACCTTCCCGAAATCAGTTCGGTCCCAATCAAAGATTTGTAGGTTTTGAAACGCAACTTTAAATAAAATGTGTGGTTTGTATAGAACCTAGGCAGGGGCGGGGGCGGGGGCGGGGGCGGGGGCGCGGGGCAGGGTGTGTGTGTGTGGTTAGTAACATCTCATGCATAGGAAAATTGAGTATGTCCCATGTTCAATGAAAGCTTGGCAGTTTTGTCATCAGGAATATTCGACCAATTCTAGAAAAGAGCAATAAACAAGTCCTTCATAATGATCATACATGAACGACAGGAAAGAAACATGGTGACCATAGTTAAACCATTTCTCTGTGGATATTATCAGTTGAGTCTTTTCACATGAATCTCACTGTTAACAATTCTTGTAATTCTATGCTGATCCTCACAGAGACCATGAGATAAAATATCCTGAAGTACTTAATATTGGAGCATGGCTGTGAAAAATGAAGATCTTTCACTTAATCCTACCATACCAGCACAAAGGATAACATAAAGAACTATTAGTAGATATTTAAGATCAAACAAAATGTTATTACTATAGACTACTAGTTGTAACTGATCAATATTTAATAACAACTGCAACACAAAAAATAATAAACAACAATAAATGGAAAGTATTTTGTAAGGCTGTAGTTCTATAAAACCGTACCTCAAATCCCAAAAGAAAATGCAGTTCCGGTGCCGGAAAGTATGCAATTAAGTCCTCACGACCTCAACAATCATGGATATGAGGAAAAAGAAAATGGATTTGATACACTAAAATGGTCTATCTTGTAACATGTTTTCCAGACAATCCATTTTAACTAACAAATCCGCCAGATATGCACCATTTTTTGAGCTTCAATTCCGTAGTTAGGGATGAAAATATGTTTGCAGGATATTGCTAGGGTATCCGGCACCAGAACTACATTTTCCACCGAGGTCTTGAGGTGCAGCTTTACCAAATATTATGAAGTCACATCCCTATGAAAAATGCAACCATAATAACAACAATAAGGCTTCGACATGAGGCATGCATGATTTAAGAGATTTGTTACTCAACAACACCTTGATAAAATGACCAAATCATTATCTATCCTCTATAAATGGCATGCAAGGGTATTCTGGTATCATCTTTTGCTGTTATTGAAATGCAACCTAAGAAATCAATTTATACCAAAATACAAATCTGTGTCTCGTATCAAGTATTTCTGCACATTCCACAAGGTGCAGGGTGAGTATCATATATCCTCAATGAGGGTATCAATATTCTTCCATGATGAGGACAAAGAAAAGAATGATAGCTCAGGGGAATTCAGAAAGCTTCTATTGAATAAAAATACATCAGAGTAATTGTCTAATGGCTGCACATGAAAAACAGTAGATGACTACTAGGTTTTTCACTTATATATTTTTTCACCTCTATTTGAAAGAGAAGCCACTGGGAGCCGAACAAAGAGTCTCTGAGGCAATTTTGAAGGCTAGTGCATATTAGGCACATCATTTGGAGGTTCGAGACCATTTTAGTAATGAGCTATCTTAAATAAAATAAGCAAACAAGAAAAGAAAAACAAGAAGAAAAGAAAAAAGAAACAATATTAGAGTCATGCAGTTAATCTTCTTCAACATTCACAGTACTTTTGAGAATGGGGTTAGGGTCGTGGTGGTAGCTCCACGTAAGCCCCAACTAATGTCCAGGCTTCCATTCTCACCTAACACTTTCGAAAACCATTAACGATTTCAAAAAATGGATGCGAGCCTGTATTCCCACTGAACTACCCAAAAAAAGCATTCATTATGCTTCTTTTGATATCATAGAAAAAAATAACAATAACAAGTATAAATAAGATCAAGTATTACTATTTGTATATTACTGATTTATTTCTGAGAGGCCTTGATGGCAATCATGATTATATAAAAATGAACAAGCTTGAAACTGTACTTACAATGTGACAGCGTCCGGTTGCCTTTCAGGCAAAGCTTCTTGAAATGCTGGTACTTCTAGGTATGCTTCATTTATCCTTTTTAAATTAGGATACATAGACTGTGAACAAACAACAAAGAGTGTCCACCATACAAATCAAAGATCCCAAATAATATCTACACCTTCCATGAACAATAACATGTTTGGTACGCATGAAAATATGTCCATGAAAGTATTTTCACATGAAAGAACTCTCCCATGTGATTAGGTGTGGGAGTTTTTTCTAACCAATTGGCTGCCAATTGGTGTGTAAAAATGCGCTGGGATGGTGTGAAAAAACTCCCACACCTAATCACATGGGAGAGTTCTTTCATGTGAAATCGGGTACCAAATGTGTTATAAAATGTGGAACAATATGCTCATCAAGGGATATGTATGATGGGTACTTTCCATCACAATGGAAAAATCAAATAACTAAATCAATTCCCATATCGTTCCCATCTAGCCCATGAACTCCCACAAGATCCCCCCAGATACGCCCATTTAAAAATCTTGCCCAAGACACACCTGAAAACTAGCCCAAGAAGGACAAATATATATATGAATATTGCATTGACTATTTTACATTATGTTCTGTAATAAACGAGAAAAAGCTAATTTCAACACATGATTCTATGTTTTGACGTCTGATAACTTTTGATCACATAATTATTCATCTAAATTGAGCTACAAAATTCTTAGAAATATCCAAGTTAATTCTGATAGAAGCGCGACAAAGCATATCCTTTCAAGTGAGAGATCGCAATGACAAAAATCCGATACAGGCAACAATCAGCCAAGAAAAACACAGAATAAATTGCTTGACTGTAGAGATATGAAGCTAGTTCTGTGCTTATCATGGAAATCTTTCTTAGCAAATACAAACTACTTATTTGATACAAAGAGGCCCAGTACTCGTCTATCAATTAAATAATAAGCTAATCATGGATGCAATGGAAAAAGGAAGAGGACAAACCATGTCTATATTGAAACGCACTACAGCATTGCTTATCTGTGGGGCCAAGAAAATGTCTGCCTGCATATAACCATTTGTGCTTAGTTTGAACACATCATCTAATAGCGAGAGAATACATTACTAAAAGATTGACACCTTGAAACAAGTAAAATACGAAGCATGGTCACTTTCACCACTTAGAGGTCTGCTTATTGTCTCAAACTTCAAATATACGAGCTTCACATGGAGATCTTCGGAGGAGGAGTTTAGAAAGCTCCTACAGTTTATAAATCGCCCAAAATCCCATTGTCAATGTCTGCCCTAGACTAAACCAAACCGTGAGACGATCGATCGCAAGGAAGCAAGTTATGTTGACTGCTTGAACTGCTGTTGTGCAGTTAGCCGATGTCCCTCTTAGGTGCAGTGCAGTATCATGTGATGGCCAAGCTTACAGCAATTATATTGAACGCAATGCCCCATATGCCATTACATGAAATTCCAAAACCTTTTCTATTTCTTTTTCTCCATTTTCTGTTTATGATATCATCTTATATCATCTCTTCCCCCCAACCCACCCATATGAAACATATATAATCTGGCCCTGGTAGGTGAGAAGCAGGCCTTTTAGTGTGGCTCATTATTATTGCTCAAATATTTGAGACCAAAGGACATGAGCAACATCCAAACCATTACCCCAATGTGCAACTAACCCAAATATTTTGACCTACTTGTGCATCCTTCTCAAAGAGCAAAAAAATTCACATTTAAATCCAACAAATTATGTCAATACACCTGACTCACAAATTAAGACTACTGACTTATCAACAGCATGTGTTGCCAAGATCGAATAATGCAGGTTTGTTAAAGTACAATTGAATGACATGAACTATATAATTTATAAAAATTCCATCATTGTCTTGTTTAGCTTCTAATATTGTGGAAAGTCATGTATACATTCAGAAATAATGTGCCTAATAATAGGCAAGAGATTCAATGACTAATAATAGGCAAGAGATTCAATGAAAACAAGTAAACATGCAATCAATAATGCACCAGGTAGAACTGATCTCCGGTGGCATATTTACCACAGGAGACTTAATAAATAGGCAAGAGATTCAATGACTAATAATAGGCAAGCGATTCAATGAAAACAAGTAAACAAGCAATCAATAATGTACCATGTAGACCTGATCTCCTGTGGCATATTTACCAGAAATCTTCTGCAATAATATTTCAAGAGCTGCAGATAAATCAAAATTAAAATGCTTAGGATGCAGATCACATGCAATTCTTTGAGAAGATTAATGAAACTAGTCATCACAAAATTCAAAAACAAAACCAAAATTAGATCTACCAACGATTAATGTCAATTAAGACTAAGGACAACTTTAGATTAATTCGGAGCATGCCAACAGAATATGGAAGGTCCCTGCTTAGAGTAACATAGCTATTTATTATCAGGGTTATGGGCATAAAGAGGCCTATATGCTTTATTTCGTCAGTGTTATACCAGCCAAGAGAAAGACAATTCACTGATCATACAGTGAACCATAAAATAAGCAATATCGTGTTCACAAACTTACCATTAAAACCTTTTGTTATGTGATGCCGAGCAAATGACAACTTCTCCTCTAGACCAACTTTTTCCTCAATGGATTTCTAAAAAGATGAAGCTAGGAATGAAAGCCCATAAAAGCCAAGAAGACAGCAACAACATTAAGAAGCTCAATAAATCAGATCATCAAGAAGCCAGAAATGTACCAGCAAGCCAATCATTTGAAGAGGTTGTATGCTTGAGCTCACAATATTTGCCACCTATATCACAACACCTTAATTTTAATCTTTTATAGAGTAGTTGGATGATGTCATTACCCCACAAATGATAGTTTCAAAGAAATAAATAACCAGCTACTCCATTCCTAAACATGCACAAGGTATTATACAGTGCCATTCAAAAGAGGGAGAGGGAGAGAGCACAAACCATTGCTAGAATCAGATGAAAAGTGGATAAATTGCAAGGTTCGAGAGGTGGCAAGCAAAATAAAAGATCAATTGAGAGAATACTGTATGAAGGCAACATCTTTCAATTCTGTGTTTACCTGCAGATTATATGCCTTCTTTTTAAGATTAACTGGCAAGAGAGGAATTTGGGGGTACTTCTCCTCCAAATACTGCACAAAGCAAAGATTTTTAAGCATCTACGATGATTGGTGATAACCACTTGCATGAGTCTACTAAATACACTGTACCGTAAAAAATACCTAAGATTACCAAAATATATAACAGCAATTTAACTTCACAATTAATGAAACTATCACATTGACCACTCACTAGCAAGATTGCATACGAATCACAAATCACGAAGTCACCATCCACTAATACCGGAATAAAACCAAGAGGGCTCAGTCTCCTAAACTCTGTGATTAAGCAGACGTTTATCTAGATGTCAGCATCAAATATAGGAAACCAGCTTTTTAAAATAAAAATTACAAGCATAAAAAGATAAGTAATGTATGAATAGTTCTTACTCACTCAGAACAAAACAAAGGGTGAATACTTTCTTAACAATGACAGGCAAACGAAATGAAGAATGTATTGAATTCTAGTTTTGGAGCATACATTGTAATATGTAAGCCATAACAAGTAAGTCATTTATTTTAAACCCATGTCCATGTTTTAAACCACTGGTAGTACATGGTTGATCTAAGAGAGCGAATTATTTATTTTACCAAAAAAGGACTCAGTGTAAATCTATTGTAATTCGATGTGTTAAACCAAGGACATTGCGGATTGGCCAACTCTAAGGTTGGTTGGGTCCACTATAAATTTTCTTTCATTTGCTGTCTGGTATAAACTTTAAGCTAGAATTACTCATATTCCAAAAAATATTCAGGGTGAATCAATGAATGACAAAAAATGTCACCTGCAATAAACTCCTCTCCTTTAGATAAATCAGTCGATATGTACTCATAAGGCAACCCTGTAAATCCAACTCTTATTATTTAGACTTTAAAGCCAGTAACAAGTGCAAAACATAACTAATTGTCCAGAAACCTAGCTCCAAGAAAAGTGGAGAAGAAATTACACTCAAAGGAATCAGTCTCTCTCCCTCAATGTTCAAAAACAAGGCTCAGACTCAGGACTAGGTGGACTTGGCCAAGTTTGTCAAAGACCCAACTGAGTCTAGAGAAGTAATAATACCAAATTGTAGGAATCGGCCGAGTTTGGCCGCTTCCTACACTCTTACTCAGCACTTTGCTGAATTACTCCAACTCAGCGAGTCCACTCGGACTCTCTCTCTCTCTCTCGACAAACTAAATCATAACCTTTCAGGTTTAAAGCAATGCGAACACGCCATGCACATGAGCTCCGATAATGAGAATATAACTTAATCTTGGAAGTAGTAGAAGAAGAGCCATGGCTGAGGAATGTCTGTTTCTGCAAATAAATGTTCAAATTAATTAGTGACTCTCAAAACTACATTTAAAACGAAAATGAAAGAGAGAACATACCCGCCCCAAAAAAAAGCATTGAAATTCAAAACTTTTACTGAAAACAAACAAAAACCATAAATGTAGAGAGAAATACAATCCAATTTGCAAATTGGGTATCGACATATTTAGCCGAAATCTTAAACAAACTTTCAGCATGTAAAATGCTCAGTACATCGATTTCAGGAAATTGGAGAAATCCCAGATAGCATCAAACCGCAACTAAGGCGATATGCGCGTTAATTTCTGAAACTTCAAAGAAATTAAAGGGTAAAGACCCTGAGCCCTAAATCACAGAACTTTGAAAACAATTAATAACTCAAAATGAAGTAAAACAAACGTCTGAATTCTTATATATACATAAAATTCAATTAGAAAATTGCAAACAAACACAAACTAACATGAAGTAACATAGAGTGGAGAAAGAATTGAAAAAAAAACTTGGAGAAAGAATTGAAAAACAACATAAGAGATGAAATACCTACCTGAGACTGAGAGGTTGAGTTTTCCATTAGAGGAGAATCAGGTTTATTCCCACTGTGATTTCGCTTTGATAGGTTTACTTCTAATGGGACTGATAGCATGGTCCGAAAAAATCCGGAAAAATATCTCCATACACCCTATTATCAATTTTCAATTTTTTTTAGAAATTCAAAATTTCGAAACCTATTTTCAAAACCCAAATAACTTTACTATTTTTAATTAAACTTTTAACCCAAACAAATGAAAAACAAGACGTCTTTTTCTTTAAATCGTATTTTTTTCTGCTTGAACTCCTTCTAACCCCTCTTCTTTTTCTTACCCACCTTCTCTCTCTAGCGGCTCCCTTACTCTTACTCTCAACCTACAAATCCGGATTAATTTATTTCCACCATCTCTCTAACTGCTCTCTTGCTCTTACTCTCAACCTACAAATCCGGATTCACCTATTGCAACCTCCACAAAATTTATTTCATCTACGTTTATCGTTTCCTCTCTCTTCACGGAATTCCAAATCCGTTCCGTTCTCACCTACCGCAATCCCCACAAAATTAAATTTATTTCAAATCCGGGCTCACCTACAATGTCCACAAAATTCCTCTCTCTCCATCGAATTCCAAATCGCTCTAATCATATTCACCGTAGAAAAAACCAAACTTTCACATTTTCCATATCTAAAAGCATAAAGTCATGAGATTCGCAGAGGAAAAAACAAACTTTCACATTTTCCATATCCAAAAGCATAATAAAATCTTGAGATTCACAGAGGAAAAAACCAAACTTTCACATTTTCCATATCTAAAAGCATAAAGTTTAGAGAGAGACGGACAAATGCTAATCCTCCACTTTAATCAACATTGATCCATGATGTGACGGGGTTTGGGCGGCGAGTTAGGCATTGCACCATTTCTTGTGTGGCCCCCCTTCAAAAAGTACAAAAATTGTGGACTTTGAAAATTTACATAAATTTGAAAAGGGTGTCGTTTTGTGTAAAGTTACGATCTTACGTGTAGGTATGTCCATTTTAAAAACGGAAAATTACATATACTCTCAAAAGTTCAACTTCCCATACCCTAAATTTTTTTCTTATATATATCCCCCAAATAAAAAAATAAGTAGATTTAAGATAAAAATGCCCTTATTATCTTTTTTCTCTATTTTGGAGTTTGGTGACTCTATCTACCCACACTTTCTCTCTCCCAATGTTAAAACCAGTGTTTAAAAAAACGCCGAGTCGAACCGGACTCGCCCGGTTCGACTCGGGAATCGCCATGGACGGATCGAATCGGCGAAAAAAACGGGAATCGGCCGGTTCTAGAGAGAACCGGACGATTTTGTACAGTGACTCGCCGATTCACTGTACGGAATCGACTAGTCCGAACAGTTAATCGGCGAGTCCCGTACGGAATTTTTTTTTTTTTGTTTGTAATCCATGATAGATTTTTTTGTAATACTTGATCGATTTTTTTGTAATCCATGATCGAATTGTTTTTTTTTTTTGTAATCCATGATCGAATTTTTTGTTTTTTTTTTTTTGTAACCCATGATAGAATTTTTTGTAATCCATGATCGAATTTTTTGTAATCCATGATCGAAATGTTTGTTTTTTTTTCTTGTAATCCATGATCGAATTTTTTGTTTTTTTTGTTTTTTTTTGTTTTTTTTTGTAACCCATGATAGAATTGTTTGTAATCCATGATTGAATGTTTTGTAATACATGATCGAAATGTTTGTTTCTTTTTTGTAATCCATGGTCGAAATGTTTGTTTTTTTTTTGTAATCCATGATCGAATTTTTTGTTTTTTGCTTTTTTTGTAACTCATGATAGAGTTTTTTGTAATCCATGATTGAATTTTTTGTAACCCATGATCGAATTGTTTTTTTCTTTTTTTGTAATCCACTATTGAATTTTTTGTTTTTTTTGTAATCCATGATTGAATTTTTTTTGTAATCCATGGTAGAATTTTTTGAAAATTTGTGATTTTTTTTTTAATCCATGATCGAATTTTTGTTTGTAATCCATGATAGAATTTTTTGAAAATTTGTGATTTGTTTTTTTAATTCATGATCGATTTTTTTGAAAATTTTTTTTTTTTTTTTAATTCCATATTATTCAAAGAGAAAATGAGAGAGATGATAATTCTGAGGCCACCCTATCCCAGCCATATTATTCAGCAAAAGTGTAGGGATGAGCACGACAGTGCAGGTGAGCATGAAGGATGGACAATCTTCGAGGATTTTAGATTGGGAACACAACAAAACACTAACACTCAGGGATTTGGGAATAGTCAGACGCCTGCTAATATTGATGATTCGTTTTTAGATCGAATAAATGAATTGTTAAACGAATTCAATCAATGGCACCAGCGTGACCAAGAAAAACAATAATGTCGTCTATCATTTATTTTTAGATCATATGTTACTAATTTTATGCTTTATTGTAGTCCATGTATGTTGATATACTTATTCCATGATAATTATATGTTTATCCTTTTGTGTGATGTAAATTAAATGCTGAATGGCGGTTTATGCAGGGAAAGAACATATCAATATTCGCATATTCATTCAAAAACATGAAAATTCTTAATGGAGTACCCTCATTTCTTATTGAATTCCTAAAAAAAAAATATTTATAATGAATTTTAATAATTTTTTCGGATCTTTTTTAAGCTTTATTACGACCGATTCACCCGATTCCCGATCTGAATCGCCGATTCGTCGATCTGGATCGGTTTTTTGGAAGCCCGATCCGGGTCACCGATCCGTTTTTTAAACCATTGGTTAAAACACATTCTCTCTCTCTCATTCTTTGATAATGCGGTTTGGCATATAAGGTACCAAACTGAAATATTTGTATGGTTTGGCACAAAAAAGTACCAGACTGTCAAAAAATTTTGATCTGGCACAAAATGTGCCAGACCATATTACAAGCCACGTTACGAGAACTCAATGCATGCGGCATTCTATGCACCGGACCGAAAGTAAGGGCATTTTAGTTTTAAACCTATTAACTTTTTTATTTAAGGGTAAAGCTAAAGCAAATTAATATTGATGTTTATGGAGGGATATAAGATGTCTAGAAAGTTGAATTTGGGGTACCTATAATTTATCATTTTAAAAATCTAAAAAATCTTAAGTACCATTGACTTAGACAATCGGTCACGAATTTTAATATCTCATTACTTTTGGCATTTTTGCCCCTACTTTCTCTACCTTTTTTTGACATTTTTGCCCCTACTTTCTCTACCCTTTTTGGACATTTTTGCCCCTACTTTCTCTACCCTTTAGAACCCTTGTCTTATTCTCTCCCTCCTCCCCCCAAAAACTTACGAGGGATCAATCTCACTCTCATTTTCTCCCAAAAACTTACGAGGGATGAACCCATTAGTAAGAGAGACACCCATTTACAGTGTTAGAGAGAGAAATATATCCTCAGAGGTTAGAGAGAAACACAATTTAAGCTTTAGAGAGAAAAAACCCATTTGCAATTTTAAAAAGATAAACACTGACGAAAGATAGAGAGTGAACCACATAAAGCCATCAGCAACATAAGATTGAGAAACTCATGAATATTATGAGAGGTGTTGTTGTTGTTGGAGAGACAGATATGCATTCATGGGTTTTACTAAATTCCAATGATTTAAAAAGCGGATTGGTGATCTGGATCGAGCACCTCAAAAACCCATCCAAATCGTTGAATCGGTGATTTGGATCGGGAATTGACCGAATCGGTCGGATTAAGCCTTAAAAAAAATCTAAAAAATTTATTAAAATTCATTATAAATGTTGTTTTTTAGGAATTCAATAAGAAATAATGGTACTCCAATAAGAATTTTCATTTCTTTGCATGAATATGAGAATATTGATATATTTTTTCCCTGTATGATCTACTGTTTACCATTTAATTTACATCACACAAAAGGATAAACATAGAATTATCATGGATTAAGTATATCATCATACATAGACTACAATAAAGCATATAATTTGTAACATACGATCTAAAAATAAAATGATAGACGACCTCGTTCTTCATCTTGGTCACACTGGTGCCATTGATTGAAGTCGCGTGACAATTCATTGACTCATTCTAAAATCGAATCATCCAAATTAGTGGGCACCTGACTATATCCAAATCCTTGAGTGTCACTGTTTTGTCGTGGTCATAATCCAAAATCCCCGAAGCTTGCCCATCCTTCATGCTCACTTACGTTGTCGTGCTCGTCCCTACCCTCTTGCCGTTGGGACTCGATATGTAAATAATTTGGCTGGGATTGGGTGGCCTCAGAATCATCATCTCTCTCATTTTCCCTTAGACCCCCTTTTTACTCTCCCTCGTTAGGTGCAATATTACCAACATCTCCGATGAATTGTAGATATGTTGGCGGGCTGCTTCATCTGTCATGCTGCTCATTACCTTCTTCAAGATCTTCCTCACCGATAGCCTCAAGGACCTATCTCTTGTGCAACACTGGCTCATCTTCCTCTGCTACCTATTGTTCTGCTGTGTCTGTGACAAATATTGTGTCCAAGTCTAGCAGCCCGTAGTCTTCAAGCTTCCTTCTTATTTGTCGCTCTTGGAGGTTTAAGTTGTAATGAACATAGACTAGCTTATGAAGCCTCTCCGAAGCGAGTTGATTCCTCCTAGTAGTGTGCAATTATTGCAACGTACTTCAGTTTCACTCACACCCAGTAACATAACATGTCTAGGAGAGCACCTTGATTGTTATTTTCATTAGGTGAGGTGCATCACTACCATATATCTCACACCATTCAACTGGATTAAAATGCAAAAAGCATTGTAAGGGCAAGAACAATTCATGAGATTAAATATATGAATGAACAAAATATTAGTTAGGGGATAACTTGTATCCATCTTAGTTCGAGAATTCCTAATAAGTCTAGTTCCGAATGATTCTATAACATTCTTATACATAGCAAGCTAAAACAAAATATTTTGTTTTAGTGCATTATTCCTCACAAATATAACAACTCAATCAAGTTTTTACCCAAATATTAAATATTACCTCTTGTATTGCTGCTACCTGGTTTCGATGGCTTATCTCCAGCCTGGCAATAATGCATCTAACCCTTCAATAATCTTGTGGGAATGTTCAGATGTTAAATAGAAAATTTTTTTGTTGAAGTAGTAACCTAGAAAATACATAGATAGAGAAAGGTCATTTAAAATTTCATAAAAAATAATAGAGAATTAAACATTATAATGATATAAATATATATGTACCTGCATAATGAATAGGACGTCCAAATTTGGTGTTCCACCTATTTCTATAATCTCGATCACTTTACTATCAAAACTACACTTCTTGATCACTTTACTATCAAAACTACACTTCGTAAAGGATGTGCCCATGGCAGCTTTCTTGTCAGCATCTACCATTCTTAACACCGTGACCAAAGGGGCAGTGGCCTCTACGACACTGGAACATCGAGACCATAACCTCCTGTTTGAGACTATGTCGTCCACTTTTAGCCTGGTACTAGATTTCGAGAGGCGGTCATTTAACCACTCTTCACTGGTAAACAATATATTTAATGCACCTTCAGATTCCCGAACGGAGTCCACAGCCAAGTAATCTGTCGCAAAACGGGTTATCGCAGGCCTGATTATCTCTTTTTTCTTAGACTGTTCCCTGAATAAAAATAAAATTTTAGAGTGGTTATATATAAATCTTGAAACCAACATCGCTTCCTGTAGAGTCTCCTTCACAATTTTAATCTCACCGATCTCCTCTAACATAAGATCGATGTTGTGT